CCTCACTTGGAATGACCTTACAATCTTTACATTCGCGACAATCTCTTCTTCTCATAAGAAAATAATCAATTTGTGTTTTGTTAGATCCATTCTTATAAATAATAATATGCTTATCTCTTTACTTGAATGAAGTATTAGCAATAACAAAATCACAGGTTAAAGCAAAATCTAATATAACTCTACCTTTTTCATTAATCACTTCAAAACCGTAGTCACCATGAATATTTATAAAATCTTCTACTACTTTACCGACATGTCCATTTAAATCTCCTCCAATAAAAAATCATTCTTCATGAGGCATCATTTGTATTAAGTCTTCTATGTAATTCCAATATTTATCTTTAGAAACTATATCTAAACTTACATGAGGGGCATAAGTACTTATAATATTAAAAATCTTAGTATCAACAATAATCTAAGGGCTATAATTCTATCTCCAACTCTACCAATTCTTACAACATTATCTATCAAACTCTTATATATAATTACACTTTCACCATTTCTTGTGCGACTCTTACTTGAATACTAAAGTTTAAAACTTAAGTTATCAATCTCCTTTGCCCTTTTTTCAATTCATTTAGTTTCTTGAACACATAAGATATTAATCTTTCTATGAATCATAATATCATATAATTCCATTAATTTATCAGCGAGACTACATATATTCCAAGATCCTATTCAAAAATTAGTTTCATGCACTAATTTCTTTACCCGCATCCATCCATAATGTGGAAACCCTTGCTTATTTGATGCTACACCCAGACACCGGTGTAGCGGTCCTTGCACACTTTTTATTGTATTCAGATCATACATCGCATCGCTTCTAGGGGACTCCCGAACACTTACATAATGATCAAAATGATCATGTCATGATTTTTTTGATAAGTTTTACGCTGGCTATCGACTACCTAATGCAACCCTACAATTTTTATATCCGGGCTTGGAACTAACAATGACAGTGTTATGACTACTATATTCACTAATCACTTCAAAATCATAGTCATCATGAATACTTCTAAAGTCTTCTATCACTCTACCAACATGTCTATTTAAATCTGCTCCAATAAAATTTCTTTTTAAGAGATACCTTTTATATTAATTCTTCTAGGTATTCTAAAATTTTTCTTTTAAACATATATTTACAATCTATTTGGGTAGCGTAAACACTTATAACATTAAGAATCTTAGTATCAATAATAATTTTTAAAGCTATAATTCTATCTCCAATTCTATTAATTTTTGCATTACTATCTTTCAAACTCTTTAATATAATTTCACCTATACTATTTCTAGTACAACTCTTATATGAATACCAAAGCTTAAAATCTAAGCTATCAATGTATTTTACTTTTTCTCTAACTCATTTAGTTTTTTGAATGCATAAGATATTTATCTTTATATGAACTATATTATTTACTAATATCATTAATTTCTCTGTGAGAAAACTTATATTCCAAGTTCCTATTCTAATATTAGTTTCATGGGCTAAGTTGTTTGCCCACATCTATTCATATTGTGAGAATTTTTTTTTATTTAACACTACAACAGGGTGTCAATGCCTCGAACCTTGCATATTTTTTACTGTTGTTAATTCGTAAATCACGTCATTTATAGGGGACGCCGTAGCATTGATACAATGATTGAATCATAATTTTTTGACAAAATTTTACATTAGTTGTCAGGGCTTGAGATCGGACAATGATTGTGTTATTTTAAATGACTTTGCCATTTTGAACGTTTAATTTATGAATGATTCATCTTGTCTATTTGAATTAAAAAGCACCATTATTTTACTATCTTGTTTGAACTTTATGTATTTTAGATCTATATCAATAAAAAACTTATAATAGTCATAATTAAAACTAATTGTAAACAACTTTTCTTTGGCAATTTATGCATATGTAGACTGAATGAGAATGCTAATGCAATAGACTTTATAAGACATTCAACAAGATATATAGACTTTCTATGTTGAAACCCTACTACAATTTTAAATGAACTTATGTTTACAAACCTACTGACATATGAATTGTACATAAACTTGGCAAAGGCAATGTCAAATCTCGACAAGGTGCTTGATCTTTTAAAAGTGAATATGATAAATAAATTAAATTCTTAACTAATTCAAGTTGTTCATCAATTTGTGGCGATAAACTACTGAAAATTTAATTCAAAAATTTTTTCTTCAAAGATTTTTTAAGAAATACTCATGAATTTCTCTTAATAAAAGATATTTGTTTTAGGTAACCAATGCAATCTGATCGCTTCATTAAAATATAAACTTGCAATGTGAGTTGCATTAGTTGTTCTATTATATGATTTGATGTGAAATATGTTATTATCGAGAATGGCTTTATCACTGAAAATAGAATCATACTTTCTTAGATTTCATCATAAATCTAATACAAAATGCATATTAACATCCTCCTTATATGGAGTTGGCAAAGGTTTATGTAGTCTTGTTTTATATTTTTTTTCTCTTTTGCAGTTTAACAAACCTTTTCTTGAAAAATGCATGTTGTATCTCTTTCCTATGCCCATATCTTTTTGCTTTAGTTATGGATGGTCTTATTGGACATTTACAGGATGTACCTTGGTGTATGCTTTTGCTGATGATATCCTTCTCGTGGATAAGACGAGAGAAAAAGCCCAGGAAAAACTTGAATTATGGAGGTCGACAAAGGCCTTCATTTGAGTAGAACTAAAACTGAATACATGGAATGTAATTTTAGTATTAGTAGCTCTAGTGACAGAAGTTTAACTTTGGGTGATCAAATTATTAAAATGTGTGAACGATTTAGATATCTCGGATCTGTTGTTTAAAACGATGGTGACATAGATGTGAATGTTTATATTAGAATTCAGGTTGGTTGGTTGAAGTGGAGGAATGCTTCGGGCCTTTTGTGTGATAGAAAAGTACCGCTTAGACTGAAAGGAATGAGTAGGTGTATGAGTGGTGGATGACTATGTTATGTTTTGTCGAGATGAGAATGAGTAGGTGGATGAGTGAATTTACACTTAGAGACAAAATGCGAAATGAATATATTCGTGATAGGGTTGGTGTAGCTCTAGTGGCAGACAAAATTAGAGGAGTCGTCTTAGATGGTAAGGTCACATTAAACATCGACCATTTGATGATCTAATTAGGAGAGTAGGTGTTTTAGATTCGACTTATGTTAAGAAAGGCAGAGGTAAACTTAGTAAGACTGGGCTTATTGTATTAAAAATGATCTTAATTTATTAGAACTAAATGAAAATATGACACTAAATAGGACGCAATGGAGAAAAAGGATTCATATAGCCGATCCAACGTAGTGGGATTAAGGCTTTGTTGTTGTTGTTTCTCAATTAGATAATTTATCAGTCAAATAATGTATATTATATACATATTTTTCGTTTTATAATGCTGAAGTTTTTGGGCTGAAGGCAACTCTTTACAATGCTATTTGCTTGGTTTCTTCCACCGCTCTCAGTCTTTGTTCTTCCTGGGCAATCAAAATTTGTGGTATTAGGGATTGTAAATGGTTGGTAAAAAGAATTTTAAAATTTATTTTTCTAAGATATCCTGCTTTCACACCTGCATCTAGTCACTACCTACTCTCAGCCAATTTAGTCACGATTTTAATAAAGGGACTATTGGAGATCAAAATTAGGGAGTTGAGACTAAATTGAAGACATGAGATGGTCTGTGACAAAGTTGGCCGTATATAAATACACCAAGGTTCATTTTATGCTTTATCTCTATTTTTATAACTGGAATTATTATTTAAATTGTTATCTTCTTTTGGATAAAAGATTGTTTAAAGTTTTAATGTTTCTTAGGATTTGGTTTGCTTTTTAATATTTGGTCTGTGACAAAGTTGGCCATATATAAATACACCAAGGTTCATTTTATCTTTTATCTCTATTTTTATAACTGGAATTATTTTTTAAATTTTTATCTTCTTTTGGATAAAAGATTGTTTAAAGTTTTAATGTTTCTTAGGGTTTGGTTTGCTTTTTAGTATTGTAAGCCTCTTTCTATGAAGGGGGGCACATTATGTGTAATTATTGTTTCATTGATTGCTGATGAATGGGATCTGATTATTTGTTAGGCTAATTTAGTGATCTTAAGATCTGAAATTTGCTCTTTAAATTCTTACTTTTCCCCGCTCCACTATTGTTTGCTTGACGTTTCCAATAACTGTAACTTGCATATCTCTATCAATGAGGTTTCACGATGTCTCTATTCACAAGTAATTCCTCTGATTTGCTTAAATGTTTGGAATATTTGCATCCTAGCGCATAATTCTTAGGTATTGACATATCTCACACCTAAACTTTTATATTCACATTTATAGCACTTTGTTTCGATTGAGGTTTTGCATATAACATTTTAACCCAAAGTTTAAATTTAATATTTTAACCACCTAAGATCTTAAATATAACGTTTTAACTACCTAAAATCTTCACTCAAAACTTCATGAATGAGTTTAGGAGGGCTGTGTAATGAAAAAGTGGTTTAAATGTTATATTTAAAATTTAGGCGGTTAAAATGCTATATTAATTATTTTGGGTGATTGGTATGTAAAATCCCCTTGCTTTAAACCTATGCATGAAAATGTGTATTTTACTTTTAAAAAAATGGTAATAGTGCTATTTTTGCTGTGATATTAATGATTTGAGCGCTATACATGTAAATATGAAAGCTTAAGTTTGAGATGTGTAAAAATTATGTCCATGTATATAAATGCCCTAAATGTTTATGCTTATGTCATGTTTCCGGAAACATCAAACATGCTAGAATGTTCAGTTGCTACAGAAATATGGTATGTTCAAGGTTCTGTTGCCTTGTCGTTAAGGCCATTTGGCTCTCATGAGAGTTCGAGTGCACTAACTGCTAACTATTCTTCCTGAAAGGAATGTTGCAACAGATACACAACTGTCTTTATGTGGGTTTCTTCTACTCTTTATGCATACGCCTGTACAATTTATAGTATTTATTTATGTTTTTAAAACAGATTGTACTAAATGCTTGGCTCCACATATACAAAAGTAAACGGCTAGATCAAGAACTTGTAAGTATTTATTTTTTTCTGTTTTATGGGCTCATTGTGCATCCTTTTTGAAAAAGCCGGTGTGCTCTATTCTCCCAATATTTGATATGTGGAGTAGAAACTGACATTCCGTCTTCCCTATGCAGATGAACTACGAAGTTGTTGAGGAAATTATATCTGGCTTGGAATCTGGCATTTTATTTGGGTAATGTATTTGCTTTTATGTTTTCCTTGACATCCTGTGAAATAAATTCTTTCAGAATTTCCATTTAATCCATGTAATCATGCTTTCCTAAGACTAAAATTACTTAATATGCATATCATTCTTGAAACTTTATCTCATTAGTTGAGCCCTTTTTTTTTCTTAATTAGAGAAAGTCGTCTTAGATGGTTTGGTCACATTAAGCGTCGACCATTTGATGATTCGATTAGGAGAGTAGATGTTTTAGATTCGACTTATGTTAAGAGAGGCAGAGGTAGACCTTGGAAGACTTGGGCTTATTGTATAAAAAATGATCTTAAATTATTAGGACTAAATGAAAATATAATACTAAATAGGACGCAATGGAGAAAAAGGATTCATGTAACCGACCCCACGTAGTGGGATTAAGGATTTGTTGTTGTTGTTGTTGTTGTTGAGATGGATGTGAATTTTCTTACATTAATGATAGGCTCTGCTTCTATTACTTTAGCCTGTCTAATGATTATGTTAGTAATATATTTTTTTTTGGTCTGATCAACATATCATTGCCGGTCCCAAACTCGGATGTGAAAAGTAGAAGGTTGCGTTAGGTAGGCGACAGCCAGCGTAAAACTTGTCAAAAAAAATGATAACATGAATCCTTTTGATCATTGTGTAAGTGCTAGGGCGTCCCCTGGAAGCGACGCGCTGTATAGCCTGAATACAGCGAAAAGTGTGCAAGGGCCGCGACACTGGCGCCCGGGTGTAGTGTCAAATAAGCAAGGGTTCCCACATTACGGGTGAATGCGGGTAAAGAAGTTAGTCCATGAAACTAATGAAACTAATATTATGATAGGATCTTAGAATATAAGTACTCTCAATTGTAACTTAATGGAATTAGTTGATATTATGTTTCATAAGAAAATTAATATTTTATGTATTCAAAAAACTAAGTGGGTTGGAGAAAATACTAAGGAAATTGATAATTTAGGTTTTGATAATTTAGGTTTTAAACTTTGTCGTACTAGAAATGGTGTAGGTGTAATTATATATAAGAGTTTGAAAGATAATGTTGTTAAAATTAATAGAGTTTGTGATAGAATTATAGCCCTTAAGATTATCATTGATACTAAGATTTTTAATATTATAAG